TCTTAAACGTCCCCCCTACGCCGCCCCTTCTGCTCGCCCCCACAAGGAAGCATACAGACATGCATCCAGAGAGAGAGAGAGAGAGAGAGATAGAAACAACAATTACGCTACCGAGGAACCCAACATACCTATGTTATTTCCCATGTGTACCATCGGTGCTTCTGCTGCTGCTCCTCCTTCTCATCCTCGGCGTCCTCCTCCTGATGCTGCTTCTGCTGCTGCTGCTTCTGCTGCTGCTGCTGCGTCTGCTGCTGCAGCTGCTGCTGCTGCTGCTGCTGCTGCCCAACCTCCCCGCCCTCCTCCTCCTCCTCCTCCTCCTCCTCTTCCTCCTCCTCCTCCTCCTCCTCCTCCTCCTCCTCCTCCTCATACCTCCTTCCTCCTACCCTCCAGCCGCAGCCCCCTGTCGCGTCGAGGAATGCAACGCCCCCAACTCCCTGGGAACACCGATCTCGACGCCTGGGCCCCCCCACCCCCAGCGCACCCCCTGTGGCGTCGAGGGAATGCCACGCCTGCCACGCCCTGGGGGCCTGCAACGCATATGGCCCCCACCCCAAGCGCACCCCCTGTGGCGTCGAGGGAATGCCACGCCTGCCACGCTGTGGAGCCGCAGCGAGGGCCCCCACGCGTTCCCTGTGGTGTCGAGAAGTGCACGCCTGCCACGCTTTGCGAGCCCAAACGCATAGGGAGCCACCCCAGCGCACCCCCTCTGGTGTCGAGGAAAAATGCCACGCCTGCCACGCTTTGCGAGCCCGAAAACGCAATAGGGGCCCCCACCCCCAGCGCACCCCCCTCTGGTGTCGAGGAAGTGCCACGCCTGCCACGCTTTGCGAACCCGAAACGCATAGGGCCCCCACCCCCCAGCGCACCCCCTCTGGTGTCGAGGAAGTGCCACGCCTGCCACGCTTTGCGAGCCCGAAGCGCATAGGGCCTCCACCCCCAGCGCACCCCCTCTGGTGTCGAGGAAGTACCACGCCTGCCACGCTTTGCGAGCCCGAAACGCATAGGCCCCCACCCCCAGCGCACCCCCTGTGGCGGCGAGGAAATGCAACGCCTGCCACGCTTTGCGAGCCCGAAACGCATAGGGCCCCCACCCCCAGCGCACCCCCTCTGGTGTCGAGGAAGTGCCACGCCTGCCACGCTTTGCGAGCCCGAAACGCACTCCCAACGCACCTCCTCTGGTGTCGAGGAAGTGCCACGCCTGCTTTGCCTGGACGACCGTCGTGCATAGCGGCCATATCGGGACGTGTCTCATGTGGGTGCCCACTATGTGGCGCACACGTCGTGGATGTGTGATGCGGTGAACACGCTAGGCGCGCACTAGCGTTGTATGGTGTGTGTGTGTGTGTTGTGTGCGAATGTGTGCACGCGTGCGGCTGTATGTAGACGCGTGTGCCATGTACTTGCCGTGCATGTGTTGAGCGCGGGTGAGGAGAGGAAGGAGAGGGAGGAGGGGAGGTGTGAGGAGACGCGGGTGCGCCGCGGCAGGGAAGAAGACCATAACCCCACGAACCATGTGGGGAACAAAGAACAACACCACACAAACCATAGAGAGAGAGAGAGAGAGAAACAAATAACAATAAAGAACAACACACGCAAAGCAACACCAACACAACGGAGGCCTCTTAGATGGGGCCAGAGAAGATGGGGTCGGAGGATCGCGCCACATCGCCGATGCATCGGCGACAGCAGAATTAGGATGTGATGGCTCCCAATCGCGCTGCCTCGCTAGTATGTATCCGCGATGCGACGCGACCCTCCGACCCCACTTGGGAGGCCTGGGCTATCTCGTCCTCCCAGGAGGAAAGAGGAACAAGCATTCCCTACGCAATGCTTGCACTAACGCTTCTTACTGGTGTTTAATGTAGCTGGCTCTGGTGCCGCCCCCGCAAGCTCGTTGCTCGCAGCCCGTCGCCGCTGCTGGCAACTGAGCTCCAGGTGTAGGTCCAGTCGCTGAGCTCCACTGGCGGTCTGGTCAGCTTGTGCCCACCCGTTGCCGCCAGTTGGCGCTATTGCATGTCATTGATTCGCATTGCTTTGCATTGCTCTGCATTGTTTTTCAATGCTTTGCACTTCTCTGCACTGCTTTGCATTACTTCTCATTGCATTGCTTTGTTCCCTGCTTCCCATTGTATTGCGTGGCATTGCGTTGTTTTGGCGTGCGCTGGTTTGCTTTGCTTTGAGGTGCTTTGCATTGCTTGGAACAGCTTTGCATTGCATTGCACTGTTTTGCATTGCTTCGAGTTGCCTTGCGTTGCTGCGCACTGCTGTGAATGGTTTTGCATTGCATTACCTTGCATTGCTCCGCATTGCTTGTCATTGCTTTGCTTTGCACTGCTCTTCTTTGGCTTGCATCGCTTCACATTGCTTCGCATTGCTTCAGATTCAGTCGCATTGCAGTCGCATTAAATTGTCGGTCATCACTTTGCATTGCTTTGAAATGTTTTGGATTGCTTTGACATGCTTTGCGTTGCGTTCCGTTGCATCGCATTGAATCGCTTTGCACTGTTTTGCACTACGTTGTATTGCTTGGCAGTGCTTGCCATTCCTTGGCCCTTGGCATTGCTTGGCATTGCTTCGCAATTTGCATCGCATTGCTTTGCATCGCACGACATCGCATTGCTTTGCATTGCAATCACATTGCTGTGCAATGCATTGCGTTGCTTTGCTTTGCGTTGCATTTCTTCACATTGCTGTGCGTTGCTTTGCATTGTTTTGAACCGCATAGGTTGCACCACAAGGATTGCACCAGCTAGATTGCACCGAATTGATTGCACCGCATGTCAGCGTTTTCTCATTCGGCGCTTCGGCATTGGGCGGGAGGGGGGGGAGGGGGGGGGGGTCTGGCTCCAGACCTCTGCCTCTCGCGACTGTTCGCCAAACTGCGTCCTATCGGGGAGACCCCCCTCCCCCCTCCCTCCCACCTGCTTGAAACAGGCGCCGAAAACAGCCAGAGGCTGCTCCAGGGGGGGGGGGGGAGGAGGAGGGGCGCGAGGGGGCCTGCGCCGATCGGGAAGACAAATAATGTAAGGCAACGCCCACCCGATTGCAAAGGAACCGCTGCGCGGGGTCCACGCTGGCCACCACCCGAATCAGCGAAAACGTTCGGCGCGCCGCGCGGATAGGAGGAGGAGGAGGAGGAGGAGGAGGGGGAAGAGGAGGAGGGGGAAGGAAAGGGGGAGGAGGAGGAGGAGGAGGAGGAGGAGGAGGAGGAGGAGGAGGAGGAGGAGGAGGAGGAGGAGGAGGAGGAGGAGGAGGAGGGCGCGCGGAGCGCCGCAAGCGCCAGGGATCGGCGCCGCAACGCGCCGCTAGGGGGGGTGGCCTGGCGTCGACCCCAAGGCATCCGCACGGCCATCCGAAAGGTTGCGTCTGAAGAGTGTGTTCTTCGAGAGAAGAGTGAGAGAGGGAGAGAGAGAATTCGGTGGCAAGCCATGATGGGGGCCTCCCATACCACCCTGCTGGCTCTTGCGAACCGACGCCGATCGACGCCAGTCGATGCCACTCGACGCCAAATTGACGCTGATCGACACTAACCGACGCAACATCGGAACTACCTCATCGACTCCCAAACGCTGATCGACACTAGTCGACGCTAAAGACGGAATCACGGGGGCATACCATGCTCCAATGATTTGATACAGAGAAGAGGAGAAAGAGAGAGAGAGATACAACAAAACAATTGAGACAATACTATTATCGTACGCGCCTCTTCGAGGAAGTAGGAGCTCAGAGGCGATTCAATGGTTCCGTTCGCTAGATGTTAAACTGCGAATTTCGCTCGAGACCTCCTCAACATTCTGAACATTGGTGGCACCCCTCACGCAGATCGCTACGTCAGGATCCAAACCACTTTTGCTTCAAACAGTTTTACAGAAAGCTTTCAAGCACACGATGGAGAATGCTGATTTTCAGCCCGATCCCTTGAACATTGCATGTCAGCCTAAGACATCCAGCTCCTTTTGAGCACGATTCTTAGACAAAGGCAATCTCGCCCGAGAAACCCTCCCGAGATCGAGCCCCGACGTACCACACACAACAAACACAGAGCACACACACAACACAAGCCAACAACGCAAACACACACACAAACACAAACATAACACCTACACACAGCACACAGCACGCAATACTCACAACACACGCAACACACACCGCACACACAACACACCTAACACGCATAATCCACACATTAATTCACCCAGAAATGCACAACACACACAACCAGCGCACACAACACACAACAAACATATCGTACACGCTGCACGCCACACTCACGTCCGGCAAATGTTCGTGGGAGCCTGGCACGTGTCGCTTGTAACCATGTCATGACTCGAGTGACCCAGGATGCGCTTCGGGAATGCTGGAGCATCTGACGGCCTTCGCTCCCGAAGCCCTCTCAGAACGATAAGGGACCAGGGGCAAATCCCTGAGCGCGTCCTTGTCATGACTCCTTGCTGCTCTGAGGAGGGAGACGCAGAGAAAGCGAGCGAAGGAGAGAGGGAGACAGAGAAAAAGAGACAGTGAGAGGCCGAAGGACAAGGGAAACCCTGACAGACCAAGGAGGAGGCGGCGATCTAGGCTTGGCTGAAGCTTGCCCTCTTAAAAGGAATACCCGAAACCAATCCTGAGGAGTCCCCTTTTCGTGGTTTGGTTGAAGCGCCTTGCTCCGTGCAGTCAACCCGTATAACAAGGACGCGCGATAATGATGCAAGGGCCTTGGAAGGCTATGCCGACACTTTGCGAGCGGGGCGCGGCCAGCGAAAGCGGCCAAAAATGGGCGGCCTTGGAAAGTCGTTCATCCTTGCAATGTGGGTCGACTGGAAGGGTTGAACGGCAGCGATTGGGATGGGCCAGCGCAGGGGAGAAACATCGAGCTGGAACGTCGGCGGGGCGGACGATCGAACCCCTATAGACGATGAGTCGGGGTCGATGCGCCCCCCCTGAGCCTATTCCCCTAAATGAACGTTGCCATTGCAGATACGGGGCGGGGGGGGCGGCGGGGCCTGGTTCATCAAGGGCTTGTCGCCCTGACAAGGTTCTGGCGGCCTGGGGCTGCGCGGCGACCCGTGCTGCAACGCGCCCTACTGCTCCTTGGCAGCGCTCGCGCGCGGTCCCCGGTAAGTGCTGGGCGCCGCAACCAACAGCTGCGACGGTCGCCTTTTTCGACGCGCTCGGCCCCGAAACAAATGAGCAAACTTTTATGAGCCGAGCATTTTTGTTCGGAATATTGAATCAGGAGGAGGAAGAGGAGGAAAGGGAGGAGGAGGAGGAGGAGGAGGAGAATGGAGAGGAGGAGGATGGGGAGGACGAACGGGTCGGATCGGACCAGATCGGATCGAAAACGCCTGGGACGAAGTCGAACTCCCAATCAGCCTGCCTGCCTGCGCAGACGTCTGGGATGACCACTCGCCCCTGCGACGGCCAATTCGCCGAGCAAGCTCCGGAGCCTCTGCAGAGGGGAGGCCCCCCGCCGGGGCCCGAGGCAGGCCCCAAGCTGGAGGTCATGGCCCCCTCTGGGGTGCACATCTAGCAATTTTATTAAAACGAATGGAAAAGGAATGGAGGAGGAGGAGGAGGAGGAGGAGGAGGAGGAGGAGGAGGAGCAGGGAGGATGAACGGGGGGAGGAGGAGGAGGGAGGAGGAGGAGGAGGAGGAGGAGGAGGAGGAGGAGGAGGGGGAACGGGGGGAGGACTATGGGACTATGGATTGGCCTGCCTCCGAAGAGGCAGGTACGAAGGAACGGGGGGAGGAGGAGGAGAGAGGAGAGGAGGAGGAGGAGGCGGAGGAGGATGAGGAGGAGGAGGAGGAGGAGGAGGAGGAGGAGGAGGAGGAGGAGGAGTAGGAGGAGGAGGAGGAGGAGGAGGACGGGGGGGGAGGCGGAGGGAGGAGGAGGAGGAGGAGGAGGAGGAGGAGGAGGAGGAGGAACGGGGGGGGAGGAGGAGGAGGAGGAGGAGGAGGAGGAGGAGGAGGAGAAGGAGGAGGAGGAGGAGGAGGAGGAGGAGGAGGAACGGGAGGAGGAGGAGGAGGAGGAGGAGGAGGCGGAGGAGGAGGGTGCCCTCGCCAGCCCGAATTTCGATCAGGATCGACGTCGAGAGGGCTGGCCCCGCGCTTCGGGGGAGGGCGGCCTCGCCTGGGCTTCTGGGCGGGAGCGGCGCGCCCTCTGGAGCGGTCCGCGCGCCCGCCGCCGCGAGCCCGTCCTCCTCCCTTGAACGAAGGATTGCAAAAAAACCCTGGATTGCAAACAAAACCTGGATTGCAACAAAAAAACCCTGAATTGCAAAAAAAAAACCTGTTTTTTTTTTGCATTCCTGGTTTTTTTTGCAATCCTTCGCCCCCGCGTCCACCACCGTCCCCGCCGGACTCCCCGCGAAGGCATCCCTCCCCGCCGCCCCCACACCACGGACCAAGCCGCGGACGGCGAGGGAGGCGAGACGTGCACTGGAGGCGAAGCTGGGAGGAGGCGGAAGGGGAGCAGGGGCGAGAGAGGGTTCGAATGGGGGAGGGGAAGGCCGAGCGAAGAGAGGCAGAGGCTGAGATGGGGGCCCAATCCGCTCAGGCGGGGGGCTCGCCGTCCTGCCCGCAGCTCCTGGGCGCGATGGCAGAGACCCCGCTCCATCCTGAGAAACTCCATCTCTGAAGGGGCACACAAACACACAAATAAATACACACAAATAAAAAGATTCCCCATATTTTCCTATATTTTCTGGGTTTTTGTCTTCCCCCCCACTTCCCATATTTTCGCATATTTTCCTGGGGGTCGACGATTCATTGTGTCTGTGTGTTTCTTCCCCTCCTGAGAGACCCCGCTCCATTCTGAGAAACTCCATCTCTCCCACCAGACTCCCACGCCACTGACTCAGGAACCGTCCGCACATGCGCTGGCGCCAATGCCTGGCCGGGCGGCACATGTTGCGAGGCGTGCAAGCCCAGCGAGTCAGAAAAAAAATTACCCTGGCGACGTACCCAACCCCTGCGCAAAAGCGGGGCGCAAATAGTTTAGGATACGTTATAAGGGGGCGATGACGGAGCGAGGGTTGCATGTGTCTGCAGCCGGAATTCGGGAGACTCGCAGGACACTGGCTACAGGAAAAGGGCTTGATAAAACTGATGAGTTACAATTCCTGGGCACTCCTAGCCACTTCGAAAATGGTGATCACAGCAGGCCTCGAAAGTGGCGACAGTTTCACAGATCGCAGCCCCCAGGGATGGCGAGGTCTAATTTGGGTCCGTGCGTGGCGTCACTGTGCTGGGCCCCCCAGCAGGCCTCGAAAGTGGCGACAGTTTCACAGATCGCAGCCCCCAGGGATGGCGAGGTCTCCGCCCGTGGCGTCACTGTGCAGGGCCCCCCAGCAGGCCTCGAAAGTGGCGACAGTTTCACAGATCGCAGCCCCCCAGGGATGGCGAGGTCTAATTTGAATCCGCCCGTGGCGTCACTGTGCTGGGCACCCCAGCAGGCCTCGAAAGTGGCGACAGTTTCACAGATCGCAGCCCCCCAGGGATGGCGAGGTCTAATTTGAATATGCCCGTGGCGTCACTGTGCTGGGCCCCCCAGCAGGCCTCGAAAGTGGCGACAGTTTCACAGATCGCAGCCCCCCAGGGATGGCGAGGTCTAATTTGAATCTGCCCGTGGCGTCACTGTGCTGGGCCCCCCAGCAGGCCTCGAAAGTGGCGACAGTTTCACAGATCGCAACCCCCCCAGGGATGGCGAGGTCTAATTTGAATCTGCCGTGTGGCCCTCACTGTGCTGGGCCCCCCAGCAGGCCTCGAAAGTGGCGACAGTTTCACAGATCGCAGCCCCCCAGGGATGGCGAGGTCTAATTTGAATCTGCCCGTGTCACTGTGCTGGGCCCCCCAGCAGGCCTGACAGTTTCCAGATCGCACCCCCCAGGGATCGACATCTGCCTCACTGTGCTGGGCCCCCCAGCAGGCCTCGAAATGGCGACAGTTTCACAGATCGCAGCCCCCCAGGGATGGCGAGGTCTAATTTGAATCCGCGCGTGGCCCTCACTGTGCTGGGCCCCCAGCAGGCCTCGAAATGGCGACAGTTTCACAGATCGCAGCCCCCCAGGGATGGCGAGGTCTAATTTGAATCTGCCCGTGGCCCTCACTGTGCTGGGCCCCCCAGCAGGCCTCGAAAATGGCGACAGTTTCACAGATCGCAGCCCCCCAGGGATGGCGAGGTCTAATTTGAATCTGCGCGTGGCCCTCACTGTGCTGGGCCCCCCAGCAGGCCTCGAAAATGGCGACAGTTTCACAGATCGCAGCCCCCCAGGGATGGCGAGGTCTAATTTGAATCTGCCCGTGGCCCTCACTGTGCTGGGCCCCCCAGCAGGCCTCGAAAATGGCGACAGTTTCACAGATCGCAGCCCCCCAGGGATGGCGAGGTCTAATTTGAATCTGCCCGTGGCCCTCACTGTGCTGGGCCCCCAAGCAGGCCTCGAAAATGGCGACAGTTTCACAGATCGCAGCCCCCCAGGGATGGCGAGGTCTAATTTGAATCTGCCCGTGGCCCTCAGTGCTGGGCCCCCCAGCAGGCCTCGAAAATGGCGACAGTTTCACAGATCGCAGCCCCCCAGGGATGGCGAGGTCTAATTTGAATCTGCCCGTGGCCCTCACTGTGCTGGGCCCCTCCAGCAGGCCTCGAAAATGGCGACAGTTTCACAGATCGCAGCCCCCCAGGGATGGCGAGGTCTAATTTGAATCTGCCCGTGGCCCTCACTGTGCTGGGCCCCCCAGCAGGCCTCGAAAATGGCGACAGTTTCACAGATCGCAGCCCCCCGCAGGCAAGACAGGAAGAGGCAGGGAGGGATGGAGGAGGAGGGAGGAGGGACGCGACCACACTGCTCTATTCAAAACGAATACCCAACCAAGGAGGGTTGGGAAAAAGTGTATGTGTTGGCGTAAAAGTCTGACTGGGCGGCACAACAGCGGGGCCGTAATAGCCGGCGCCCGACGTGCCCAAATCCACTGGATCACAAAACTGAAGATATATGTGTTGGATATGTCTGGTCAGGCGGGACATTGCGACGCGTTCCAAAATCCTTGTGGTCAGAAGCTGGGCTGACATGCGTTGGCCCCGGAGCCCATGGACCCGAACGATGACCAGCAAGAGGCACACTCGGCGATACTCCAGTATCAGGCTGTCAGTCAAAGGCGTGGTCCCACAACGCCCTGAATCCACCACCTCGCCATGCCCATCAGCAGCCACTGGAACACCACTGGCCCTCAGCACCTTTGGGACCACTGCTGGAGGTGGCGCTCGGCCTGGCCGCGGGGCGCTGACCCGACGAGGCGCTGCGCTGCGCGTTCAGCTCGGTAAACGTGCGGTACATCCCGACGGGCTGGCCACGAGCTGAGCTGCATCTCCCGCCGAGCTGGCCACGTTGTGACCTTGAACGTCACCATGCCCTCCATGCGCTTGCCCGTCTCCCCGCGAGACACCTAGAACGAGATGTGGCGGATCGTCAGCGCAAGCTCGGCAAGTTGTTTGTCCTTTAGGTTGGTGTCCCAAACAAGATACGCCGCGCCTTTGTGTTGACAGCCTTGCGACTGCTTCTTTATCTTAGCCATCGCGATCCGAAGCGCTGTCAGTCACGTAGGCCCGCGACTGCCGGGGTCGGTTGAAGAAGTCGGCGGCGTGCTTCTATTTCAGCTGTTTGGCGCATTCCGTGTAAGAACTATTGGTCCCGAGGCCTGACTGAGCCAGTCAGATCTTGTCCGAGATCTGGAGCGCGTCGTTGATATTCGAATCCATCTCGGCGGTGGGTCGGGCGTTGGCCAACGTCTGACTGACCGCCCACTTCATCGTCGAGCCGTCCAAAAGTCGTCGCCGCGACGGTTGTCCCCTCCTTTTCCTCCGCGCCCCCCGAGTCATCTCGGCACCAACGCGTGGGACATGGGCTGGTGGGGTTCCGTCCTGGCCTTGAGGCTTGCGCTTGCCGAACGGAGACACCCAGGCGGGGGCGTCGGGGAACTCGAGCTCCATCTCCCCTGCCATGACGAA